GGAATGCCTGCACCCAACCTTGTCATCTTTAAAACCCCTTCCAAGTCACCCTTTCAAGCCACTTCCAGGGCCAACTCATCCAGAAAACCTTCTCTGAATGCCTTGCCCCAACTCTGAACATGTTTCACAAATTCCAGTGACTGCACTTGCACCACCAACTAAATCGTAAGTTATATTGTTCATATCTGTTTCTCCCAACTGAGAAAACCTGGTTCAGAAAAGAAATCATTTAATTAGCATTTGAGTCTTCAGGGCCCATAGTAGTGATTGACACCAAACTGGAACTCGGTATCCGTTGGACGGAAGGAGAAAGGGAGAGATGGAAGAGAGAATGGCTGGGTGGATGGATGGGTGGGTGACTGGATGGATGGATGGGTGGGTGGGTGACTGGATGGATGGATGGATGGATGGATGGACGGATGGTGGGGACTACATCTGAAGGCACAGAAAACTTTACTCTAAGCAGGAGGAGAGTCAAGAACTAGCCTAACACCTTCCCCTGAAAAATAAAATTACAAGCAGATTTCCAGCTGGCAGCACAGCCAAATGCATCAACCTTGCATTACCCTGGCCACCAAGATAGCTCAGCCCCCACTAGGACTGTCTTCCTCCCCTCCTCACATCCTGCCTGATGACTGTTGGGAACTTGGGAAAGTGTCTTTGTCTGGTAATAGCCATTCACTAAAGGAGGCCCCAGGGACCTGCAAAAATTAACACACATCCTTAAGCACCACTCTTAAGACAAAGAAGTGCCTTGAGGGCTTACAGAGGAAATCCAAGGGGCCTCTGTGGAGAAAGGCTGGGTAAACTGTCCATTCTCAGACAGGCAGAGAGTGAGGGACCAGTGACAAGCCAGGGCATCTGGGTCAGATGCCTGCTGCCACAAGCTGTGAACCCTGGAAATGTCACTGCACCGCTCAGTACCTGTCTGATACCCCCATGGAAGAGAGTCCGGAATGACTCGCATATGCAGAAGTGCTTTTGGAAAATAGAATGCACTGTCTACCTGTTTATCCTTTTTCTCCTTAAGAAGAGAGAGAGAGAAAGAGAGAGAGAGAGAGAGAGAGAGAGAGAGAGAGAGAGAG